GAGAATATTTCTAGGTTGGAAGTCTTTATACTCATAAATGATTTTGAAAGAATAGCAACAATAAAGAAAGTTAAAAAATTTCTTCAAATTGCTAGCCCTCTCATAATCCTTTCCTTATAAAGATACTTATATTTATCACACATAGATAAGTTACCTGAGAAGTATGTATATGCCTCAGACATCTATATTTCTATATATTTCTTTCTTTAAATGCAGGATATCAATGTCTACGTTCATCCTGCTATGTATCTATCAATCACTGTACTTATAAGTCCATACTCAAATCCCATCAATTCCCAGCTCCATAGAACCACACCCTTTCCTGCATCTGCTCTTTGCGCTTTGAGCTGTTGATTGTCCCTGCCTTGCGTGAGACTGTGCAGGTCAGTGGTGCATACTTCCTGAACTGTGCCATTCACTCATGACTAGGGTACAACTGTGAAGTTTCACCATTATCTCCAAGGAATCTAGAAACGTGGTCGTCTGTGTGTGCGTGCCCCCTGACGATCACCCCATGTGGTCGTCTGTGTGTGCGTGCCCCCTGACGATCATCCCATTGCTATTCACCTAGAAATGGGGCCTTAACAGCTTCTGGAAGACAGAAACAAACAGGAACGCCCAGGCATCTTCTGAAAAGGCGCTGTTCTCCTGCCACATTTGCTCCAAAGCAACAACACAAACAAAAACATAACACAGAGAGATGGGGCAGGAGTGAGGTGGGGGTGTAACATATCAGGTTATTCAAGGGGAACGAACAAAAATCTCTTTATGCAAATATCTATTGAGTCTTCACCCACTCCATAATTAAATCCTGCTTTCCACTTACATCTGCATGAGCGGAACCACCAGCTGCCGTCTGCCAGCCGTTAGTGCACCTGGAGCAGGAGGTGGGCAGACTGGGGGAGCTGGCATTCCTGGGTGATTAGGACAGACTTCAGTTCCTGGCTTCGCCACTCTTCTGCTCGTCCTTTCCTGTATTGTGAATACTAACACTCAGTTGCTGAACACTTGGTGTGAGTATTATGTTTGGGGGAGACGATGGGGGCTAGATCAGTTCTCACTTGGATTGGGTTGGGTTTGGGACTCCAAATTCAGGATGGCTCAGGACAGGCTCCAAAGCTACAGAGAAACCCTGTCTAAAAAAAAAAAAAAGTTAGAAAATTCAACTAAAATTTCTAAGATGGCCTTCCAACGTGACTTGAGACTCCTTGTGAAAAAGTGGCTGGAGACTGAGGGGAAGTATCTCAAATGCATGCATATGTGTTAAAATGGAAGATGAGCCAGGCAGTGGTGGCACTCAGGAGGCAGAGGCAGGCAGATCTCTGTGAGTTCTAATTTAACCTGGCCTGTAAGAGCTAGTTCCAGGACAGGCTCCAAAGCTACAGTTTCGACAAAAACAAAAAGATGGCCAGATGAGAGCTCCATGGCTTTTTGGGACTGAGTCCTCAGCTCCCCAGATTCCCCTCCTACTCACAGAAGCCATTCCCAATTCAAAGAAGTAGTTTGCCAAATCCACATGTAGAGAGGGAAGTGAAGCGGGCAGTGACCCCCTTCAGGGGTGATGTATTCTTGTCATTCAATGAATGACAGTTCAGAACCAAGCAATGGACAAGCAGATCTTAAGCTCCTGACTCATACAGGCGCTTGGGAGGTAATGTCTGTAGGGCAAGGCCTCCTGATGACTAGGATTCCTTGTGGAGACTTCAGAGATGAGTGACATGGGAAACCTTATGATGGGATTGGTGAAATGAGAGAGAGGGTATCTCTAAGGGTGTCAAGGTCACATCAATGGAAGAATGCTACTTGGTACAGTGGCCACACTGTGCATCCCTGCAACAAAGGAAGAAGTCCCAAAAAATGACTCAGCTCAAGGTGTAAAACTTTAAGACAATTCTGAAGCCATTTCTGACAATTCTGAGCCTTCTCAGTCTCAGCAGTAATGCTCCCTCCTTCCCCCCCCCCCCCCCCCCGGGAACCAAGGACCTAACAGCTACACATGACGTATGTTCTCCGGAAACTGGAGCAAGATAACCTTTAAGATGTTGACTCAGTTCCTGAACAATTACCCACACATGTATGTTTTGACTCAGTCCCTGGGAAATGGAGTTAAAGTGACCTCTTATCTCATCTGATCTGGCAACCGCTCTCCAGCCAATTATTGGTAATAGCCCTTTTGAATAAGCCAATCATAATAGTCAAAGAACAACCCCCAGACGCCCCCCCTTACTTCTGTGGCTTCTTCCTTTAAAAGTAGCCTGTACCAGCTATTTGGGGTCTTTCTGGCCTCTAATGCTGGAGAACCCTGTCATGACAGAATTAATAAAATCCTCATGCTTTTACATCAACTGTGGTGTGAGAAGTGATCTCTTGGGGTGACTCCTCCTCAGTGTTTGGACTCTAGGGTCCAACAAAGGCTTCTAGAAGGAAGAAGGAAGACAAAATCATCTGATATGGGCACAGAGGTGCCCTCAATTTGGGATGAGTGTTAAAAAGGTGAATGTGCTAGTGCCCTGGGCATAAGTATTTGAACAGGAAACAATGGGTTGTAAGATGAAGGGAAGTTTCCTGAGGAGCGAATGCCAAGCTGTTCAGGGAAACAGGCAAAAGGGGTTCCTGCTCTTCTCCTGCCCACTCTGCTTCTCCCCCTTAGAGTGATGAGAATGTCCCCAGGACCCCTGGCTCCATTCTGGTTAGTGCCTTCTCCTGGCCAACCTTGATACTGAGAGCAATGTTCTAGAAGAAGGGATGTTCCTGTTGTCCCAAAGGGAAACCTTGTGGTATGTATAACAGGAGGTACAACCCTGCCTCTTGTCATGTGGCTTATTTTCCTCTATTTCATAGCAATAGAATAATAAAATCTTGGCTGGGTAAGTAACTCAACCACTAGATTACCTGAATTTGGCCACCAATATAAAAACTGTTTCCAATGGTGGTGGCACACACCTTTAATTCCAGCACTCGGGAGGCAGAGACAGGCACATCTCTGAGTTTAAGGCCAGCCTGGTTTAACAAAGCAAGCTCCAGGATAGCCAGGGAAACACAGAGAAGCCTTGTCCCCCCCAAAGCAAACAAACAAACAAAACCCATTTCCCAGTATCTCTTGTGGATAAGTATGAAATTACATCTGGCTGTTAGAATGTAGGTAGAAGCTGTTGGTGGAAAAACTACATAAAAAGAAAGTATTAGGGGCTGTGGAGATGAATAAGTGAGTAAAACACTTGCTTAAGCATGAGGACCTGGGTTCAAAACCCAGATCCCACATAAAAATCAGGCGTGAATGTATGTGCGCTTGTAACCCCAGTGTGTGGAGGTCAGAGACAAGAGGATGCTAGGCTTGCTGACTACCAGCAAGTTCCAGTCCAGTGAGAACCTCTGCCTCAAAGGAATAAGGCAGTCACCTAGTTAGCTTCAGTTAGTTTACACAGTCTGGAGTTAACTGAGGGACTCTTTATACATATATATGTATGTATGTGTGTGTGTGTGTGTGTGTGTGTGTGTGTATATATATATATATATATATATATATATATTAGATTTTTTTTTTTTTTGGTTTTCTGAGACAGGGTTTCTCTGTAGCTTTTGGAGCCTGTCCTTGGAACTAGCTCTTATAGATCAGGTTGGCTTCAAACTCGCAGAGATCCGCCTGCCACTGCCTCCCGAGTGCTGGGATTAAAGGCGTACACCACCACCACCTGGCTAGACTTATTTATTTTATGTGTGAGTATCTTGGCTGCATGTATGTATGTGCATCACTTGCATGCTTGGTGTCTAAGGAGGTCAGAAGAGGACAATCAGATACTCTAGAACTAGAATTAAGGATGCTTGTGTGTACCATGTGCGTACTGGGAATTGAACCCAGGTCCTCTGCAAGATCAACAAGTGCTCTTAAGTACTGAGCCATCCTTCCTGACCCTCTGAGGGAATCCTAACCGAAGATTGCCTTGATCAGATTGGACTATGGGTATGTCTGTGGGGTTGTTTTCTGGATTGTGAATTATTGTAGGCCAGCTCACTGTCCTAGGTGGTGAGCACAGGAATGTATAAGAAAGCTCCCCAAGCAGAAGCTAGGGAGTGAGGCGACAGACAGGGCTCCTCCGTTCTTTCTGCTGCAGGATTCTGTCCTGACATCGTTCGATGATGGATTGTGACCTCGACATAGAAGATGCAATAAACTTTCCCCTGGATTCCTTTTGGTCGGAGTGGTCTGTCATAGCAACAGAAAGCAAATTAGAACAGGCTGAGAGTGCTAGGTCAGGCCACCGATGTCCTCCTCTGGCCTCTGCAACACACATGGGGGCGGGGAAGACAGACAGACAGGCAGACAGAGCTGTTACTGTTACTTGTATTTTTACCTTTCTACCTACCTGGGATACAGATGTGGTTTCTCGGCTTTGCAACCATGAGGAAATCTCGATGGTGGATATGTAACTCCTGCGATCCCTGACAGAAGCCCACTCCAAAAGCATCAGCATTTTCTCCAACGCATGGTCACTCCTCCAGCCTGGGACACACTCGTGCATTTGCAACCCAAGGACACCTCTCAACCAAGCACCAGGCTTCAGGTTCCCTTCATCAGACCACTCTGAGTAACCTTCAACAGGACTGCTCAGAGGGACCCGACAGGACGGCGTCCCAAGGTGGTAATCGCCACTTTAACACGCCTTCCTTCCTTGTCTCACTTCCCCTCTTCTTGGCATAGTTTTCAAACAACCTCTACACAGAATTCACTTTTGGAGAAGTCCAAGTGAGACGGATGCAGCGTTTGATTCACTTAAAAATCAGTTTGAGCATTTAGGTGATTACAGGGACTCGCGTAGGTGTAGGTTGGCAGCAGGGGACCACAGAGGTGGAGGCAGGGGACTGGAAACAAAGAGGTCAGCAGGGAGATGGACATACTTTCGTTCACAGGTGGTAAGGAGAGCTGACCCACATGAGTGGCATTCAAGGTGTGACCCTCCCCTGGGTGTGTTTGAGTTATGATGTTTTTTTTTTTATGAGAATTTAATAAACATTGATGCACTTTATTATTGACACTATTGCTTTTCTTTCAAACATATAGGATATATTACAAATTCTTCAGAGGTACATTTTATCAGGTTATACATGAAAATCACCTTTCATGTCTTCTAGAACTTTGACAATCTTCTTCAATATTATGGTCTTCCCAACTGTATCCTATAGTAGTGAGATTCCTGTAGGTCTCCTCCATCACATCTTTGTAGAGATTCTTCTGGGAAGGATCCAGCAAAGCCCATTCTTCCAAAGTGAAGTTGACATGCACGTCATCATAGGTCACTGCATTCACATCGTGGTTTTCCAACTTGCCCATGCTCCTTGCTCAGCTTCCTGCACTCAGAGCAGAGCACACAAGACCACTGCTGCTGACTTCTCTTCAAAGTCAAGTTTGAAAATGGCTCTGATGGTTTTTTTATGGTTTGAGTTTTTCATATTATTTTTATTTATTTTTGTTGTTTTGTTTTGATTTTTTTTTTTAAAGAAAGGGTCTCACTGTTTTTTTTAAAGAAAGCCTAGGTTGGCCTTGTGCTAGCTAGTTATGTAGTCCAGGCTAGCCTCAAACTCATGAGACACCACCATGCCTAACAACAGTTTTGTTTTTAGAGAAATGCTCTTTGCTCCTCCACATTGCCTTTTCTGGATTGCTCTAGGAGGAGACAGAAGCCCTTCACCTCCATTCGAGACAGTGTCTTCCGAGAATGACTCATTCTGCCTGCCTGGCCGAGTAGCCTGCGGCCAGAGTCTGGGACTTGGCTGGCCAGTCCCAGCCCCATCCAGGAGGCAGGACAGTGTGGCAATGATGTGTCACCTACTTGGTTTACTGGATTTGACTGGTCTGACGGTGACGAAGCAAGGCTGTGAGGTTCCCAGTGTGTGCCAGGGGGAATGGGGGGGGGCACACAGTGGCGATACCTGAGCAAACTCCAGAGCTTAGCGCTTTGATGTTGTAGAATATTATTTTAACTAGACAAAGATGTGTTACATTTGTTTATGTTGAAGAATCTTACTTTAACTGTGTAAGGTGTGGTACTTTTGTTTGTGCTGTATGTGTTTAATTATGAAAAGATGTGTGGCATTTGTTTTGCCTTGCCTGCCTAAGGCACCTGACTGGTCTATAGTTAAAAGAGCTAGCTAGAAGCGTGCCTAAGCTAGGCTGAACTTTCAAAGCTAACAAGAAGTCTCTGTCATGACCTAGGAGCTGGTTGGTGGTCCAAAAGAAAAAGCCTGGTACACTTTGGGGCAACTCCCCTTGTTTAGCAGTTCCTGGTCCAGCTCTGGATGCTTCAGTCCCTGCTCCTCTGGTCTTCTCAGCTCCCACTCCAATATTGCATTGGTGGTCTTCAGGGAAGCCCTGGCAGGGATGTGGTCAGTACCCCTTACATCCAGTGAGTCAGAGTCTCTCTGTGGACGGGTCACTTCTTGTTCTTTGTGTGCCCAGGACTAGATCCTGCCCTGGTGATCTGTCAGCATATAGACCTCATTTTGTTTTGTAATATTCTTATTCTTTGAGGTTTTTTTTAATATTTATTTATTTATTATGTATACAATATTCTGTCTGTGTGTGTGCCTGCAGGCCAGAAGAGGGCACCAGACCCCATTACAGATGGTTGTGAGCTACCATGTGGTTGCTGGGAATTGAACTCAGGACCTTTGGAAGAGCAGGCAATGCTCTTAACCTCTGAGCCATCTCTCCAGCCCCTCTTTGAGGTTTTTATACAATTGTATTTTGACAATACTCACCCTCCCACTTCTCCTAACTCTGCTCCAAACCACCCCACCTCTTTATACCCCTCCAAATACATATCTTTTTACTTTTTAGTTTTATATAAAAAAAATGTAACCCGTTTAGTTAAATTTTTTTAAAGATGTATTTATTCATTATGTATACAGTGTTCTGCAGGCCAGAAGAGGGCACCAGATGTTACTACAGATGGGTGTGAGCCACCATGTGAGTGCTGGGAATTGAACTCAGGACCTCTGGAACAACAGGCAGTGCTCTCAACTGCTGAGTCATCTCTCCAGCCCAAACCCCTATTTCTATGGTGAAGTATAGCCTCCTGACAGTATTTGTTAGCATTTTCATAGGCCAATTGCTTTATGACAGGCATAGCTGTGTCCACATCCCCCAAAATGTGACCTCCCAGCTATAACAGGCGGTCAACATACTCAGGATAAGGTTCTGAGGGTCCTAGAAGAACCTTAGACAGCTGTTCCCCTGCTCCTTTATTAGGTAGAGCTTTCCACACTTTATTGACGGCAGCATTTATCTGAGCATAAACATCAGGGTCATAATTAATCTGTGCTGCTAAGCCCACGTACTGTCCTGCACTAGTTAGCATGTTGAGGTTACGCTTGGGGAACCCCCCCTTGGCGATACGCCATGCGGTATCTGTGCAATTTTCCTGTATTTCACCTCTCCATAACAAATCCACAAAGGATTCCATTAAAGTCACTGCATCTTTTAGTTGCTCAATGTCTTCTTCTTCCAACTTCCTTTTGAACAATATAATCTCCCTTTCTAAAGTCTCTTCTTCCTCTTCTGTATCCCTTTTAATACTTTTAACTTCCCCCTCCTCAAAGCTCTTGATAGACTTCACAGATCCTTCACCCTGAATCTCCTCAAAGGTTTTAGCCAAATTTTCTAATTGCTCTTTTACTTTTCCATCATCCCTGTAGAGAGTCTTTGACTAAACCCATAGTGAAAATGTTGCTATGGGAAATTCTTCTGGCCCTCGCTCTTTTAACTCTTTTTGAAGGTCAGCTTTTACTTGCTCCCAATCAGGAATATTAAAGCCCCCTACATGTAGAAACCAGGGACTAAACTATCTCAGAAAATAAGGCAATGCACTCCTGTGCTGTCTTAGTTTTAATACCAGTGCCTTGCTTCTCTAAAAGAACTATCGATTGGTACCTTGCTTCTCTAAAAGAACCATCCACCTGTGGGCGGGGGGGCGTTGGAGAGATGGCTCAGAGGTTAAGAGCATTGCCTGCTCTTCCAAAGGCCCTGAGTTCAATTCCCAGCAACCACATGGTGGCTCACAACCATGTGTAATGAGGTCTGGTGCCCGCTTCTGGCTTTCAGGAATACATGCAGACAGAATATTGTATATATAATAAATATTTTTTTTTAAAAAAAGAACCATCAATTGGCCTGTCAATTGGCCCATCAATACTCGAACAGAATTACTAGCACCCATCTTCAATTCACCCTCACCATCAATATCTTACCTGCTGGCCAACCTTCCGAGGGCAATCTCTCAGGGGTCCCTTACTTCCCAATCTTGCTGGTGGCCTCCAACTGTAATGCCTGCGTTACTTTCTATGATACAGTTCACACTACTGTACTGTTCGCGAGCCGGGCAAGGGCCTGGAGATTAAGGAACACACAGAGACGTGGGTCATTCGTGAGGAAAGGATGCAGAATGCCATTTATTCAAGCTTAGAAAAAACCTTATGTACCTAGCTTCTGCACAGTGGAAATCCCCCCAGGCAGGTGGGAAATGACCAGGCCCAAGAGTAAACAAAACCCCTAAGCTGACCACCAGTGGGGGCAGAGGGAACACAGGAACAAGCAGGATGTTTAGCCGGAGACTGCAACAAGATGTTTGGCCAGAAACTGTCCTCAAGATGAACCCTGGAGGAGGGGTAGCCCTGTGGGCCCTACATTGCCCCATAATTGTAATGCAATTATTGCACCAGTGGGCACATCTAGCCAGACATGTTGGTATCATAGTGCAACGAGGACAAGTACTGTCTGAGATCACTGCTGTGTTTCCTTCCCAGCTGGCATGATGTAAGCTAGTCAGCAGGGAGGGAGTTTCCTGGGCACAGTCAAGGTTGGTTTGCTGTGTCATCCAAAGTGGCTTTTTTTTTTTTTGTAGTAGTAGTGTATCATATATCCCAGACGGACCTCAGATTCACTCTGTAGCTAAGGGTGACATTGAACATCTGATCTTCCCCATCTCCAACCTCTACATGCTAGCATTACCGGCATGTGTCACGGTGTCCAGCTTTATGAAGTTCAACCTGGGAGGTTGAACCCAAGGCCTTGTGCACACTGGTGAGCACAGCTGCACCCTGAGCTACACCCCTAGTCCCTGTTCACGCTTTCCACAAACATCTATTTTGTGTTTCCTTCCGTGAATTAGTATTTGGTGTGACCGATCAAATTTGTTTCAGAGCTTCCAGCGTATTGACTTCTGCTCTATTTTTAGTGGCTTCTGGTTGTGTTTTCTTTGGTCTGTCTTATTCACTTCCTGGCTTCATGGGCTGAGCCCTTTACTCACCGAGGGGCCACCGATCTTTTGTGGTGCTCAGTGCCCTTGTGGATGTCCAGTCTCCTGAATGTCACTTTGAGCACATGGCCCAGGTTTCTGACAATAGCTCTCGGCTTACATTTATTTCCAGAAACTGCTGAGAGGGGTACCAGGCTCCCCTGGGAGGAGCCACCTAATTGCTTATCCAATACTAAGCAGTCAGCCCTGCCGTCATGTATACACAAGCACACTAAAGAGACTCAGCAGGTTGTCTTTATATATTTATGCACATGCATGTCATAATAATAATTAAAGAAAAAGGCTGTGGTTTTAGGAGAGTTGGAGGGAGGTGAAGGAGAGGGAAAGAAATGTAAATACACACACACACACACATATAAAATGTATATTGTATTTGGTCTGTGTGTATGTTTGTTTTTGGTTTTTCGAGACAGGGTTTCTCTGTGTAATAGGCTGTCCTGGACCTCATCCTATGGACCAGGCTGGCCTTGAACTCACAGAGATCGGCCTGCTTCTGCCTCCCAAGTGCAAGGCGTGAACCACCACCGCATGGCCTGTGTGTGTGTTTGTATGAGGGTGTCAGAATTTCTGGAACTGGAGTTACAGACAGTCTTGAGCTGCCATGTAGGTGCTGGGAATTGAACCCAGGTCCTCTGGAAGATCAGCCAGGGCTCTTAACCACTGAGCCATCTCTCCAGCCCTATATTTTAATTCTTAAAAATTACAAAAAAAATAAAAATAAAAATAGTTTGTATGAGAAAAATTCTAAGCAGCACATTGTACCACTATTACAGGTCCAGATGTTTGCTAATGTAAAAGCAGATAGGATACTTTAGAAATGGCCCCAGGCATGAAGTACACCTGGAAGAAAAGTTCAGTGTGAAAAGACTTAACATTTTATTGTTGTTTCACTTAAATGAATAGCTAAATTACACCAGCTAAATAAATACTTGAAATTACTTTAAAAAAAAAAAAAAGCAGAAGAAATAATCTAGAAAACCTGCAAAAATTTCTAACTCATCAGATTTGGGGCCTAAAACTTTGCCCTGTGGTCAAAGAATATAGGGTTGTATAGATATAGATCTGTATGTTTTGTGTTTTTTTTTAAGTTTTATTTAT